TGGATCAATACCAGCAAAAAATATCGTCTAAAAATTAAAAATTAAAATATACATTTATGAATTGACATATAAAATTATATTGAAATAAAATTCTAGTTTTCTGACATCAAGAATCCAGAGAGTAACTTCAATAGAGAAAAGTGTTTGTGATAAGGATTTGAAGGAAATAATATCTTTAGTGTATTCTTGAAAATTCAGAACCTGAAAATTAGAAGTTTTTTTTTTGATTACACGGAGCGATAGAGCAATGGATTCTCTACAAAAATGTTAGTTTCCTCTTAGAAAATGCGCAAAAACCAAGAGAATCAGTTGTTCTATTACACTTTAGAATCAAAGAAAACTTTTATTTTTCGTTTCTGAATATTGAAAACGTTCATTTTAGATTTTCTAGTGGTCCTAGATCTTGTAGGAAAGGTGTGAAGATTATACTTCTTTCAAATTCTTGTTAAAAATATTTTTTTCTATTCAAGTGAATATTTAGATTCTTAATGCGAGTTACTATTACGAAAAAAAACTCGAAATTAAATCTGTATAATCAATTTTTAGAGCCACTCTAATAAGTTACACGTTTTTAGCAAAGTTTTGGCTTTAAATATTATTCACAGATGTTCGGCTAATTCAAATACAATAGAACCTCATTAGACATGAGTTCTTAAAATAAAGAGATGCACCAATGCCTAGAACGTGAAGTGAAAGAAGGCACTTTTTCCATATGAAGAATGCAGTTTCTATGGATTATGTATATCAATTATAAACAGTGTTTTTCGCTTTATCTGAAACTTTAGTTGAAACAGGAAACAAATGTCCTCGAGTTAGTCGAAAATTAGGTTTTCTTTTTGACTAGTCGCACCTGATTTTCAACTATATATACTGCATCAGACAAAATCTAAAAATATCTTTTAGTCAAGGCTGAACACATTTGGCATGAAGAACAGCAAGCTGTCGAGTAATTATCAATACGAGTAATATTTTAGTCGTCAATCATAAATTCAAGGAATTGTTTTATCGCTGTTTACATAAACATATTCTCAGTATTGAGAATAATCGGACACCTAGTGATTTTTCATGCCAATGACAATCAGTCTTGAACCGAAGCTATACTTAGATTTCGTTTAATGCAACACACATGTCTCAAAATCAGTTGAAACTAGTAAAAAAAGCAAATTTTCGTCTACCTTCGAAACATTTGTTTTCTATTTCATCTATGTCGACTGTAGCTTTGAATCAAACAAAAAAAAACTGATCATGATTAATACCAACAGTCCGCAGGCACCACATTCTTAACAAAGAACAAAATGTCATCGTTGACACCATGTTCTAGGAACTGATGCATCTCTATGCAGATATAAACACATCATTATTCTGAACAGTAGACATTTATTTCTAGTCTCCTAAGCAATACCGACTTCTGCAATACGCATAACATATGTTTTATCACTTACTGCAGAGCGATAAAAAAAATGATGTTACGTGTATTGCGTTATGATAAATAATTATAAGAAAATGAGATAAATTAACAATGCATATTTAAAAGGAAAAGAACAATAGCAATACTGCTTGGCGTAGGCTCTTATTGGTCTTTATATTGTATTAACAGCTAGTAACATTCTAGCATGTCAACATGTGTTGATTTACTTTTGATTAAAAAAAAATCGTTCAATGAATCAATTGTGAGAAAGATGATACTCTTATGCAGTTGACGAGTGATTGCAATTTAATATTCATAAGTTACAAAAGAAGAAACTGAAAGTCTCTCAATAGTGAACACTTTTGACTGATCTCGTTGGAAAAGTTTCACTGTATGTTTTATCGTTATTTATGTTCGAAACACTTATAACATATGCGAAACAAAACTTCTATTACAAAAACTACGCTGATCATCTAAAGTCTTCTAAAATTAATTTTATCGTTGAATCTTTTGTATACGAAAGCTTTAGTAATCTAAATTACTTCTAAGATAATTCAGGCAATATGACATATTGCCATTAATTATATTCTGCATCACTAGTTTCATTTGAGACGACAACAACAAAAAGAACGTTTACTTTTCTTAATTGATGATTATCTTCAATTTGTCCAAATGAATTCATATACGTTCTCCAATTATCTATAGTTATTAAATGATAACAACCTTCTTCTGGATGTAAATCACTTGAATCAATTGTTGGACGAACAACATTAAATTGATAACAATTAGCAAAACCACGACGAGTTTTTTCATAAGCAAATAAATTCCATTCATTTAAAATTTCAATTAAACGATCAAGACCACCATTATGAAAATGTAAAACTTTATATTGAGATTCACATGATGCTATAACTAATTGTCCACTACCACTTGCCATTGTTCCTAAATCATCACAATAAAATAAACGTAATGAACGCATTTTACCAAGATCAACAGAAAAAACACCACAATATTGTTCTGTAACATTTCGTGTTGTATCATCATCTTCAACAATTGATGAATTTTGTTTAGCTACATTTGTTACATTTTTCCATGAATCTGTTTCTTTCATAAATGGTAAACTATCATCAATAACACGATTTGATGAGTGATCATTTGTTTCACTAGTTTCAAATGCTTCATCATCTTGTTCATCAAGAATTTCATCAGGTCCTTCAGTTAAATCTGATGTTATTGAATCTTGTCTCATATAAGATTTTTCATCTAAAGCATCTTCATATTGATCATCAGATGAAAGATGACGATTATGTGTATTTTCTTGTTCAATTGGTGATAACAATGGATTTGAATTCGTTGTATGATAACCACTATCAATTGTTCTTGATAATGAATGACGTGGTGTTGATGTTGGTGGTTGATCATCATTTGTATTTATCGATGGTGATGATATTTCATCTGATATAAACGATTGTTGTGATGTATTGGAACGATTTTTTAATGTTGAATTTGGTATCCATGTTAATATTAATGTTGAACCACTTTCTGGATTATTTTGACATTTAATACATAAATAACCAGGATGATGAAGTGTATATGAATGTAAACGTGATGGAGGATGAACACAAATATTATTTTTCGAAAATATTATTTCACCGTCTAATGGTGGACATTTATTTTTTATTAATGACGATGTTGTTGTTGGTATACCTAATGAACTTGCACGTTGTGTTAAAAGATTTGATGCACGACGAATAATTGATGTAACGGAATGTTTTGATGATGATGATGATATTTGATTATTTCGTGGTGTGGATGGAACTGATGAGATTTTCTTATATAAATTCGACATGATTATAACAGAAGTTCTAGAACAGAAAAAAAAATTACTAAAAAAAAACCGATTATTAATAGTAAAATAGGAGTTGAGAAGAAGCCTTATTTCCGCTTGTTTTTATTGTATGAAAGAGTACATGACATAATTTTCTGAATAAAAAAAAAATAAATATGAAACTAGTGTCATCTTTAGGATTAGAAAAAGAATATATTTTCATCCATTTATTAGAATTAAATTTCATCAAATTTTACTAATAAAAAAAAGTTATCAATTAAAATTCGCATTATAATCAATCAACATAATAAATATTTGATAATTTCTTTGACATTTCCGTTTCATAAACAATTGGTTTTTTTTATTATCCAATGCATGACTGGCCTCCAAGTTCTGATGTAAATAATCGAAGTACGAAATAATGCACGTCAAATTAAATTCAATTCAAAATTAATAGTTCGAAAGATTTTCTTATTCCGCATGAATAAATATTTGTTTTTACTTTGAATATATTAAGAGATTAATTGTAATTGTTGATTTTTATGTATAATGTGCTATTGCATGTCACATGCTTGTTTGCACTGTCGTCGATATATCGGATGTAGATTGTCGGTGAAAGAATAGCTACCACTATACTACAGTAGAATAGCTGTTAAAGGATACTTGACCGCGCTGAATTATCAAACTATTACTGATAAATCGGTGATCTTGTGTCACTACCAATATATATCACTGATATAGTGTAAATTATGTTCAACCGTTAACTAGCGGTCTTTTTCCGGTTTGAATAACATAAAATATAGACTTTAGTTTTTAATTGAACAAGTGAGTTATTCTTTTTTTTAATGAACGTTTTGTCTTATCAACCTCAGTTTATTACTCTTTGATTAATACATCCTAAAAACAATCTTAATTGCTGAATAAATTTAAATTGAGTCTATGCTATTTATAGATATGTAGTTCCAGATACCGCTACTAAAAAGAACATATGTTGGTATAATTAGTACCTCAATCTTGCAGCAAATGCTAGTGTAAACAGTGTCTAGAGAATCCTGTATAGGTGACTCACTGTCAGTATTTACATCACTACCAGGCATCTCTAATGGTATTTTAATAACTAATAAAATTTATTATGTTGAGATTCTGCTTTAAATTCATCGTTTAGTGTTTATGAGTGTTACATTTGCAAAAACGGTATATTGAGCATCATGTATGCTTACAATAGAATAGTTATCGCATTGAGTAAAGAAAAAAAAACTTTAATACAATGTTTGGATACGATGAAAGTACAAAAAGAAAAGATTTATGTCTACTGAAAATTACCTTATGCTATAGTATTATAAATATAGTTATTAATCACTGACTTTATTTATCCATGTCAGACTGAATAGGAAGCAAATCACATTAAAAGTAATCGACAATATAAAATACAATTGATTTTTGAATTCTTTTATACATTTATTTTTGAAAAAGATATGAGTACTACATTTTTGGCGAGCTTATTTTTTGATAAATAATTACAATGTACCTAGATTTGACTTCAATCAAATCAGGTAAAATTTTGCGATACGTACATTTATGAAATAATAGTGAATCTTAATAACTTTATATAAGATTATAAAAAAACATTAATCATCTATTCTCATATTAATGGTAGTTCTATAATATTCTTTATCTAAACAAACATTTTACAATTTAATATTTTGGAATTTTTTATTTTCTAGAAAATATATTTTTTTTTTTATTGATTGAAAATAATCAATAATGTCATCGACTTATACGGAAACAAATAATGATGATGTTGCAATTCTTGATATAACATCAGATGAGAAAGATGAACGAAGTCCATTATTAAGTGATAATACTCAACAAAATAATTCCATTTTATTAGCACCTATTAGTGATACTATTCTTGTTCCATCAATATCTCGTTATCGTTTAACAAATATTCTTCGTAGTATTCTTTTTATTGAATTTCTTACATTATTTATCATTTGGTTAGTAGGTAATGAATGTGTTTTTTTTATTATTGTGTTTTAATATTATATTTATAAAAATTTCTAATTTAACAGGTAGTAGAACACATTCTCTTATTGATGATATAATTCATTATCAATTTACAACATCTATATTTGATATTGTATCTGTATCACTTTGTAAACTTATTCTATTAATTATTTTTCTAACAGAATTAGAAACATCGGTTATTGCTCGTTTATATAATCCAAATTCACCACAATCATTTATTTTTATTCGTTATTTTTATACAATAATACTTTTACTTTTATCAAGTTGTTCATTAACATTTTCAATTATTAAATTCATATTTGTTTTATATAAATTAAATTTAAATAAACTTTATTTATCATTAGTTTATTTATTTCTTATATTTTCATCAATAGAATTTATTGGTACTTTATTAATGATACCATATTTAACACGAATAAAACTAACTGAGCAACAACGATCAAATTTAACAAAGAAAAAAGTTGATTTAAGACGTTTATTATCATTAGCAAAATCAGAACGCTTATTAATAGGTACAGCAATATTATTTTTATTATTATCAAGTGCAACACAAATTATTCAACCATATCTTTTTGGAAAAATTGTTGATTATGCATTAACATCGGATACAATGCGTTTAGTTAATATATATGTTCTTATTTTATTTGGTAGTAATTGTGCAGGTGCAATAGGATCATCGTTTCGTTCATGGTTATTTGAATTAGCTGGACAGTATGTTTGGAAATTTATATATATATGGATGCCCAGTCTCGCCGGAAGCTCCAATTCTTTTTGTTGTCAAAGTGCTTCGATAATATATCAGATAACAGTGATCTTTTTACTAGTTATAGTACTCGCGTAGTGCTAACAATCTGCTAAGGATAAAATGTCTACAACATGTTCGAAACTAAAATAGGCAAGTGTTTTTAGGAAATATGTTTATAAATACCAACAGATTTTCCGAAGACACTTGATTATTTTAGTTTCGAACATGTTGTAGACATTTTATCCTTGGCAGATCGTTAGCACTATGCAAGTACTATAACTAGTAAAAAATCACTGTTATCTGATATATTATAGAAGCACTTTGATAACAAAAAGAACTGGGACTTTCGGTCAGACTGGGCACCCCCATATATATATATATATAATTCAAAATTACATTTTGTTCTTTCTAGGAGAATTGTTTATCGTCTTCGTCAAGATATTTTTAATTCAATCATAAAACAAGAAGTTGGCTTTTTTGATGATACACGCACCGGTGAATTAACAAATCGTTTATCAAGTGATACACAAGTATTACAAAGTGCTGTTACTGTAAATATATCAATGCTTATTCGTTTTCTTTTACAAATTATTGGTAGTCTTGTTGTTATGTTTTATTTGGAAGTAACATTAACACTTGTTTTAATGGTTATTGTACCAGCTATTATACTTATTTCAAAACAATATGGTTCTATTGTACAAAAATTACGAAAAAAATTTCAAGATGAATTAGCTGCAGCTGGATCAACAGCTGAAGAGTCAATATCTAATATTCGTAAGAATTTTTTTAATAGGACGTTAGAGCCTCTCTTGTTTGTTTTGGTTGGGCAGTGGTAGATAACGCCCTCTCCAAGTGCTTGATGTTATCAAGAATACATGGTGCCAACAAGACAGTAACATCCTCCACTACCCTTCCTAGAACTATACAGGAGCTGAAGATTCTAATCTCACTGTTAGCTACTCTAGTAGTCATTTGTATGTCGGATACTACAACACACTAGCGACGATTGTCACCTGTCACTGCTCAACCAAAACAAGAGAGGCGCTAGTGTTCTGGTTATGATATTACTTCGATGTACGATATCTATTCAAGTCTTCAGTGAAGCATATATCTCTAGAAAATAATAGTCAATTATGTATATTCTGAAAAGAGCTTGAAGTTTTCTATCATTCTGCGCCTACTACATGGAAACTAAATCAACTGCAATGAAAGCACTTTACTCATGAGACTCTCACGAACTGAATTTTATCACTATCTCCACAATAAACTCTTTATTTTTATCAAATCATACAGAAATAGTTCTCTCAAAGAGTAACTCTGCAGCATCTGAATACCAAATTTTACTAGGAAGTGCTGAAGGTGCTGTAGAACTTATATATATTTCAAACTAAACTGGAAATTAATATGATATCTAGGAAGCAGAGGCATACCATTTTAATTCATTTTTTCAATCAAGACACAGCTATTCTTCGAAAATCACTCTTCTAAAAAAAGCTTGACTAAAGCTTTCGAGAGTCCAAAAATTTGAATGTCTAGTCGGCTTACTGATAGATATTACCCTGATTTCTAGTATAATTTCAAATATGTATCAGCATTACAGTACCGAAAGTTGCTGGAAGTTCCAAGCCTGCAATTTTATCTTGCTTAATATTCACGATTAAGTTTAAGTTTTTTCGTTTAATATTTCACTTGAAATCGAATGATTAAGTGATTAATGTGAGATAAATATCATTTTTTGTCTATAAAGTTTGATCGTATGCTTTCAAGATGAAGAACTCTTTTTTCTACGGTGTTTGTTTAGCCAATCAGACTTCGGCACGGCATTCTATTACTTAGCTAAAGAAAACCTATATTAAACCTTGATTGACTAAACGGATACCGTAAGAAAACAGATTACTCGATTCAGAAAGCGTATGATCAAACTTTATATAAAATCGCAATTTTTAAAAAAGTCTTTCTATAAGAAAGAAAATTCTCAAAATGAAATTATATATGCCACACACTAATCACTTATGCGCGTTAAAAAGAAGTATTACACAAAAACAAGTTTTACTTTATAGCAAGTATTGAGTAATTCATTGACATTTAACATAGTTGAACTACGTAGTGACTGTCGATCTTTTCTTATTAAGATTAATAATTAAGTGAAACTATGCAAAATTTGTTTTAATCAACTTGCATTAAAAAGATGGTCTAGCTTAAACAGCATCACTAAATAGCTCCTGAAAAATTGAGCACCACTTATTGAAGTTAAATTCTGGGTATTGTAGAAAAAAATGAACAATATGTTAGTTTTATATTTTTGACGAGTACTGTAAATCTTTATTTTACAACTGAATAGTTTTATTTTTGTGATAAATAAATATTTGTATGATCTAGTTTGATGATAATTTTGTTTTTTTTTTCTTATCATATCATTTTTTTCAGGAACTGTACGCATATTCGGTGCAGAACATAAAACTAGTAATCATTATCTTGACAATTTATTAAAATCATACGCAGTCGGAAAAAAATTAGCATGGAATAGTGGTGTATTCATGGGTGTAGTTAGTTTACTAGTAGCCGGAGGTATTTCAATTGTATTATGGTAAGTCAATAACGAAGATAGTTCATTTTTTTTTTTGTAAATAGAAGTTTTTCTTTTTTTTGTTTTTTATAGGTATGGAGCAAAATTAGTTCATGATAAAAAATTAACTGCTGGTCTTCTTGCATCATTTTTAATGTATATGTTACAAGTAGCACTTTCATTTGCTTTTCTAGCATCAATATTTACTGGTATGTTGATATTTTAATTTGTATCTATTATAATTTGGTTGATTTTGTTTTTGCATTTAAGATTTTATGCAAGCTGTTGGTGCTAGTGAACGTATATTTGATTTACTTGATCGTCAACCAAAAATTTCTTCGACATCAAATCCAAATTGCTCTATTAAACCAAATGATTTTGATGGATATGTTCGTCTTGAACAAGTTTGTTTTACATATCCAACACGAACTGATCAACAAGTTCTTCATGATATAACATTTGAAATAAAATCAGGACAAAAAGTTGCATTAGTTGGACCATCGGGTGGTGGTAAAAGTACAATAGCTTCACTTATTGAACGATTTTATGATCCACAATCAGGAACAATTTATTTTGGTTCACAACCATTAAATTCTATTGATCCACAATGGTTACGTGAAAATGTTTCATTTGTTAATCAAGAACCATCATTATTTGCTTGTTCAATACGTGATAATATAACATTTGGTATTGATGAAAATAATATATCATTGGATGATATACAATCAGTTGCTAAACAAGCTAATGCACATGAGTTTATTGAACAATTTGAAAATAAATATGATACATTAGTTGGTGAACGTGGTGTTCGTCTATCAGGTGGACAACGACAACGAATAGCAAGTAAGATGAAAAAAAAAACAACCATTATTATTATTAGAGTATTTTTCTCTATTGAAAGTTTTAAATAAGAAAAAAAATTCTTTTGCTTTTGTTTTTGTTCAGTTGCACGAGCTTTATTAATGAGTCCAAAATTATTATTACTCGATGAAGCAACAAGTGCACTCGATGCTGAAAGTGAACATTTAGTACAAGAAGCTATTGAACGTGCAATGATTAATCGTACAGTTTTGGTTATTGCACATCGTTTATCAACTGTACGTAATGCTGATGTAGTTATTGTTATTGATCATGGTACCATCGTTGAACAAGTAAATTTAAATAAAAAAAAACAAAAGTCTTTGTTTTTATAACATCTTTATATTTAAAGGGTACTCATGATGAACTTATTGCAAAAGAAGATGGCATTTATAAAAAATTGGTTCTTCGTCAACTTATGGCGGGAAATGGTTCTATAACTACGGAATAGTAACTGACAATCAATGATGAAATAATTGTGAATCGTTTTTCTTTTTTTTCTTTGCACATAAAACATAGATATTCTGATTTATGCAGATATACAATGATTCCCTAAATTATTTGTATCGGTTTTTTTCGAATTTTTCATGCTGCTTTAAACATTAATAAGAATCAAAATAGAGATTTTTATTTTTAAAGATAAAAATGATTGCTAGATTTCCATTTTCTAGAATTCTGTTTGAATTATCCAGAATGATAGAGCAAATAATTCTCTACTAGATGACAAGTCTTCTAACTCTCTACGATGCTTGTTCATCGAGATAAATCAAACTTACAGACACCACCAAAGTTATTTTTCTTCTGCTATTTCGTATGAAAAATATCGTTTTAGTGATTTTCATAAGATTCATATATCTCGGTGAAAAAGCGTCGTAGAAAGCTGAGAAACGTTTTAGTTTGTAAAGAAATATTCTCTATTATTTTGAGTAATTCAAACCAAGTTTTAGGTGATGAAAATCTTGAGTTTCAATTTTTGCAGAGATCCTATCCTTGCAAAACAAGGAATAATTTTCATCTTTAAAAATTTTTTAATACATTTTTGAATAGTATTTGTTTGTGGAGCATTCTCTAGTAATCTATATAGTTTTGGCTTAGTTTTTTGTCTGTTTCATATTATTTCAGCAACATTAAAGTCATCAATATAACCAAGCATTTAACAGTATGTCACAATCAAAATGTAAAATAGAGAATGCAATGAATGAAACTATACAATAACTTATCAATAACTAGTATTCAAGAATGTAATAAAAACTAAAAAACTCAATCTGTAATATTAACATGAGGGGTGTTCCGAGCAAGAAGAAACAAACTAATTTTTTTTCATCTCTTTCTTTCCTGTCACTGGAGATCAGTTTTTATTTGTTCACCAAGAATAATTATTAATTATTCGAAATGCTTAGACATGAAGGCAAATTACGAGGAATAGATGAAAATCAGAACCTTATCTTAAATCTTATTGTGGATGATTTTTCATGATTCAAAAGGATTTCTAGCATAAAACTCACTTTGTTTTCTTTTACTTTGACTCCGAAAAACTGAGAATTTTTTTTGATTGGTATTTATATAGTTCTTTTTGTGTTATTTGTTCATGAGAATGTCTCTTTTGATGGTTTTTCTTTTCTTGAAACAAATTTATGAATCTATAAAGAAATATATTTTTGTTCCTTACTTTACATGTAAAGAATAAAGTTGTCACTCAAAAAAGAGTCAAAATATTTGATTTGTTTTACTGTTTTAACTTCGTCATGAACTCTGAATAAAAATTCTTCACCGTCACTCTGTCTTCGCCGTAGTCATGAATGTAGTGATCTAGTCACCATTTCAATTTCGAAAATTTTTTTCGTTTTTCTTCACTGAAACGCTAGCTTTGTATTGTTGATTTTCTGAATCATCGAACTCGGGACACCCTTTTGTTTATCCATTTGAAATTTTTATTTATATTATAAGCGTCATTTCTCATACTTAATAAATATATCTGCATAAATTTCTGTTTATGCTATATTTTCTATCGAAAAACGATTCACAATTCATTTGTCATTAATAATTTGAACAGTGATTGAATAATTGTCTTTCATACGAGTTATATTAAGTTTTAGAAAAGAAAAAAGAAATGTTTTTTTCTTATGAAATTCAATATATGTTTTATTTTTGTATTCCTTTGTATGTGTTTTCATTCCAGTATAATTCTTTTCTAGATGGCAGGATTATTCGATGACTGTCTTCCATTATCTCATTATTATGAACAGCTAAATTTGGATAGATTCGAAATTAAGGAAAATCGAAATACAATTGCATCAATCATTGCCGGATCATTGGTTTGTGTTAGATTTTGTTTTCTTTTCTTCATATAATAAAGATTTGATTTTGGAAATTTGGAAATTCATCAAATGTGTTGTCGTTAAGAGAACTCTTCTTTTCCACATGTTAAAACCAAAGTTTTATTGATTTTCAATATAGCTTCGAACTATTCTCTACCAAATGTCATGAAAATGAAAGTTTATTGTAGTGATTTAACATGTTTATTAAACCAAACTTCCGAAAAACTCACGCTACGATTATTCTTCATATGTAAAATTTTCCTAATCGTGATGATTATTTTTCATTCCAAGATGCTGAGAGCATGAGTTAGAATCCTCTAACATCGCTGAATACAGTGAATTTTCGATCATTTTAGTTCAAAAACAAAAGTGCTAGTACATATTGGAAAATTTGTTTTTAGTTTTTCTCGAAAATTAATTTTTAGATAAAAAAAGTGCGAACTTATTTCCGTTTATCTGACATAGCTGGACCGTTTTTACAGATATTGAACACTGTCTGAACCAACTCTCTCGAACACATTGCAACTGAGAGAGCGGGAAGATTTTCAACCTTTGTGACTCAGATATTCCCAAGAAGGAAGTATTTTGGAAATTAGGAGTCTATGATGGATTTTGCTCTAATCCTCAAGATCTATCTACCATGAACGTTTCGAATATTTCTGATGAGCTACTCTTTAGAAATCTCAAAAAGAAGGATTCCGTCAAATACAAATGAACTTAATATTTAAAATTGAACTTGAAATAATTTTTTTTAGTTTTCTGCTGGTTGGTGGCTGATTATTGATGTTGCTGTACGTTATCCATCAAATGATGAATTTCATAAGGCTCTTCTTACTATTGGCATAGTAGCATCACTTGCTTTAGTTTTGTAAATATATTTTTGTTTGTTTTTTGTTGTATCAGTTTGTTTTAATATTAATTTTAATATTATTTAAGTGTTAATTCAATATCAAATGCACGTTTTCGCGGTGATTATTATCGTGATGGATGTATTGGTTTAGTATTTGCACGAATAATACTTTTTCTTTCATTTTTATTTGTGTTCGGCAGTGTTATTGCTGGGGCATGGATTATGATTGCTTTGTATATTATACCAAATGCAGAACATGTATATCCAGGTGTAGCACTTTTTATTCAAAGTTTACTTATTTTTGCTAGGTAATTTTTCTTTTTCATTTTTACTCTTATTTGATATGAAAAAATTAATTGATCTATTATTTTGTTATATTTTAGCACACTTGTACTCAAATTTGGACGAACGGAAGAGGAATAAATAATTTGTTTTATAGCTTTACATTTTTACGGTAGCTGACAGCTTTATTTGCCTATTGTCGTGACATAGTGATTTGCATTTCTTTTTTATATTTAATTTTTTTGATTCTTGACGCAATTTAAAATAAAGAGAAAAATGTCTTCGAAAACTTCTATTGAATTCATAGAAGAACTAGGCTATGTATTTAAAAAATATAGAATTATTAAAGATTTATGTACTATGTATATGAAAGTCATACTTATCTTGATCTTTAGTATTAACATCAGTACAATATTTCTGAACAAAGCTAATGAAATTATGAAGTTTTTCAAGTGAGACACAAGTTACACAAAGAATGCATTGAACGAAACCATTCTGTTCAGGTATTTATTAGTTGAATGCTACAATGAGATATTCATCATGCTCGATCAAACGTATATTGTTAATAAAGTTGTGCGGGACTGTGAGAAAAAAAAAATACTGTAACTGAAACTCAAATTTATTGGAAAATATTCTATAGTTTTAAACGATTAAGCTTATCAGTCATACATCAGAACATAATTCAAGTGAGGTGATCCAAAAAAGTACTGGCCGTCGACTAAATAAATAAAAAACAAACGGGTATTGAAAAATTTTGTTAGATGTGATACAAATAAATTCTGGAATAGTTGTCTCAAGACCGGGATCAAACAAATTAGTTTCGTACATTAGTAGTCATTAGAGAACAATTGAATTGGTTTTTTCTTCAATTATTTGTTATTCTCTAAGAAATTTAAGTTCTATTTCGTGATTGAAGTGTTGCGGATAACGAATAAGTTTGATAAATGCTCTTTAATATCACAGTTTGATTTCTCATAAAAACGTAAAGTTTATAAAGTGTCAACAACAGCATGCAGGTCCTCTCCAAGGATTTAATCAATTCGTATTACGCATATAATGTTCATAATGCATGTATGACTCTTGAGAGATTTTTTTTAGACTCACTTCAATAATTTGCTTGTTTGAAAGTAAAAATATGCGGTGGATATTGTGTGTGTGATTCAAGACATGTTAGCAATGGAATACTCAAATCGAATTTCTTCACTTATTGCTGGAGTTCGAATGGAGATAACCGACTTGTACTATGTCACTAAAGTCATTTATTTAGCGAACAATTTCAGCTAGCTCTCTTTCATAAGTTGATGATTCCAATGTAATAGTATGTAGTTCAATTTATAAAGTTAAAATTATATGGCTACTAGATCATTTCGCTGAGATCTGTTCACTAAAATGTTGACAACGTTTGCTGTTCAAATACTTTGTTGAGAATTTTGTTCGAGTCAAACTATTGTTCATTGAACAATTTCCGAGAATTCAATTGATTATCGTCGTTCGCTAAAGAAAGTTTCTTTTAGTCATCTTGATGAAGAATCATTGCCACGGTCAAAGTAGCTAAGGAAAATATGGGAACTATTATAAATTAATAGAACTTTATTTTAATCGTTTGTGGTTATTACTAAAAAATTCTTTGTGACATGTGAATTATTTTTTACAATGATACAACACATCGTTGATATGTTGTCGTAAAACATCATTGACGAAGAGAAGACAAGTTGATGTTAACGATTCACGTTCTATTAGCGACTGATTAATAGACAACAAAAAAAGCAATGATTAATAATGATACTTTTCTTCACTTATATAGGAGAAAACAGGTGTCGTTCGTAACATTTACATCCGTTAACTAAGGGACTTTATAGTGTTCGGCAGAGAAAAATAACATCTGGCAATTAGTGAGTTTATTCTTGAAATAGTTGTAGGCGAATGAACATTTTTTCTTCTATTGTGTGCAACTAATCATCCATTGTCAATATATTTAATAAGTTGTCTATGTATGGATGTAAATGACAAGAAAATTTCACTAATAAATATTCAATACATTACCTCTAATCGATAACTATTCTTACAAACAAGAGAAAAGAAATGACATATATATCATCAATTATCTGCATTAAATAATCGAAACGAATCGTACAAAACTTAGCTTATCCATATGATCATCAGTTTAATCTCTGAAAACAAATGGATTGAATTAAACATTGACATTTACCTTAAATTAAACAGATTTTTATTTTAAGTGATATAAAAAATAAAAGAAAGATGCAAAATCACATATACTTTTAGATACGAAGAAAAAAAAGGAAATGACGAGAAATTTCAATTGTTGATAATCATTTATATCAACTTTCATTCAAAGTCATTGTAGCAAATGGACAATAAACAATATATTAGCTTCAAAAATACTAATTGTTTTAGACTCGAATTCAATTTGAAAAAAGCTTCTTATACAGATCTTAAGCTTACTTTAGTGTTCAAGATTTTTCTGGTAAAATGAAAAAAAAGATTAATTAAATATATTTTTTTTGTTAGCTTTACTTAATCTCTATTCATGATCGAAATAAACGCTGAACATGCCAAAATATCCAGGAAATAGATTGAATGGGATTAACTAACTGAAATTTTAGTAAATAGTTCACTAGAATTATATACTATTCGTTTTAAATTGCAGGACAATCCTCATCACTTCACATGCATTATTAAATATGATTTATGTTAAAATGCACTATCAGTAATATCTGTGACAATTTTGTCATAGTTATTTGATTGTTCCACTCGAACCGATTTGAATTATAGTCGTAAATGTGAGCATGTATTTTTATTTTTATTCTATTCCTCATCTGATAAAATTATAGCATTGATATCGCCTTAGTATTTGAAATCCTTTTCAAATCTTTTTTTTCTTTAAAAGATTCGAATAATTTACATAGGTAAGAGTCTTAAATACACCGGTTAAAACATAATATTCTCTAATAAATATCTTCTAGAAGACTGACATGTGTCAAAAAAAACATGAAATTTTTCGATATAAAATAGCTTAATTATTGTCTGTCATAATACAGTATTATCATATAGAATGGCTTAGATAACTGTCGAAGGAATCTTTTGTGAGTCATTTTTTGTTACATCAATAATACTTGATGTCATGCAATACTTTTTGTCAATTAGAAAAAAACACACATATAAACATTTTCTATTTAACAACATTAATTTCATAGATTCGACAAGGAATACATATTCTTATATATATATATATATGTTTTCTATCAAATGATTCTCAATGAACTATACATCTTTATTAAATATAAAACCAGGTCAAATTTCCACATAACAATCATAAAAGACATGAAAAGAAACAAATCAAGCTTTCTTTTTCTGCTGTCTTTATTTTTTTCTCGTTTTTTTCCATTTCTACCATCACGCTAGTGACGGCTTCCGGTCATACCCGTTTTTTTTTCTTCGTTCGTGTGAGCTAACATCCTTTCAACTAAAGAAAAAAAAAGAAAAAAAAGAAAGCACGACAAGACAAAAAAATTATAATATAGACAGAATAATTTTCTTCTTTATGTCATTCAGTTCAATCAAGTATTCAAATAAATATTATTGATGGATGAAAATTTCTTACGTAACTGTTATGTCTCACGAAATTCTGAACAACAACAACAACAACAACATAATCATCGTTATATACGTTTTGATGATCATCGTTCATTTACAGAACAGCAACCACAACAACAATCGACATTGACACCTCCTATAGACAAATATCATTTTATCTATTTTGCTTTATTTTGCTGTGGCATAGGATTTTTATTGCCCTATTCAATCTATATAACATGTGTTGATTATTTTCATGCACAATTTCCACAAACAGCAATTATATTTCATTTAAATTTTATTTATATTATAGTGGCATTTAGTACAGTTTTATTTAGTAATATTATTGCAAATATTCTATCTGTTAAACGTCGTGTTATATTTGGTTATTGTCTTACATTAATTATACTTATGTTTATTACGATTTTTTGTGTTGGTTTAGAAATTTTTCCACAAAAATGGTCATATTCTATTTTTCTATTGTCTGTAGCTATAATAGCAGTTGGATGTACATGTAAGTTTTGGATGTTTTTTTTAATAATATGTATATGTATATTCTTTTTTTTAGTACAACAATCAAGTTTCTATGGACTAACAAGTATGTTACCTTCTCGATATACACAAGCTGTTATGACAGGTGAAAGTAAGTTTAGAATTTCTGTTGTTTTTCTTTTTTTTGGTTAATAGATTTTTATTTTTCAAGGTTTTGCTGGCCTTCTTGCATCATGGTAACAATGATTTTTTCATTTTAATAAGAGATAAGATTTCTTATTCATGTTGAAATCTCAGTCAATAGTCCTAAATAATATTTTAAAAAAAAATATAGATCTGAAATTAGGCTAACTATTTTCTAAAATTTTTTAATATTATTTTGTTTTTCTTTTTATTGTAGTGCTCGAATTAGTACAAATTTATTTATGTCAAATGATAGTCATTTAAGCACAATATTATTTTTTTCACTTGGTCTTCTATTTGTACAATTATGTTTTATATTTTATCTTATGATTCAACGTTCAATATTTATTGAATATTATATTCATCAATGTGAAAATGCAAGAAAAAATGAAGAAATTGAATTTCAAATTCGATGTCATGCAGCATCGGTTCATTCTAAACAGACAATAATTGATGATAATGTATGTATTATGTTATGTTATTTTATTTTATTTTTCTTATTTTGTTTATTATTCATATATATTTTTTAGGAAGAAAATCTTGAATCAAATACATCAACTATTCAAGATCCTCATTTTGGTATTTTAACTGTTGATACATTTGATGATCAACAACAACCAATTATTTCATCAGCAGATCAATATTCATTAAAATTATGGTTTCGAATAAAACGTACGTTTTTTGTTTTCTTTTTTAGAAAATCTCTGTAATATGTCTCGAGTAAAAATTTTTTTCTCATTCACTTATAAATGGTTTGATAGAGCTTAACGAACTGCTCATGAATACATAGTTGTTAGCCTGATTTGACCACTGCTTAGCTGTAAAAAAAAAGCTTCGAGTGAATAAGAGTGTAGTATTTATACTTATAAGTTTTGCTTTTTCAATGGAAAATATCGAATTTCAACTACGTTCATTTTGCAAACTTTTGCAAAACATTATATTCTGAATTAGCATGAAAAAATGAATAGAAAAATGTTATTTGATTAAATTTAGAATAAAGAAGAGAAAAAAAAATTGTATGTGATATAATAGCTCAATTGTATCTCTTTTGTGAGTATTCTTGTAAATCTATCTACTATTTGTAACAAGAGAACAACCTAAGTATCTTATTTCATTAGAGCCATCGTATCGTAAGCCAGAAAATCATTGGATTGGTTCCTGTAAATTCAATTTCATTGTTGAGAAGATTAGTTCAATTAAAAAGAGAAATAGGTAACATATTGGGAATCAACGTCAAAAATGGCATTAAATCATCTACGTTTTAGTAATAAATGTATCTGATCGAAATTACACCTGTGGTCTCTTCAGGCCTATTTTTCTAATATTTTATCCGTTGTTCCCTAGGGATCGATTTTTCGTATAAAACAGAATTGTTCAAAACACATATGATTGAATGCAGTTATTAACGCTAATTCCGAATATGCTATCTATTTCGCTTTTTAACTGTACCATAGAAATGAAAATCGCTTAATACGAGCGTACTCTTTTTATTTAGTTATCAAATGAGAAAGAAATTCGAATTTCTCAACAATAAAGCATAATCCAAACAAACTAAATCAGTATTTTGTGTAGCTCACAGTCTGGCTATTCCAATGAGATAAGACAGTTGCTTCTATTTCTCGTTGGGAAAAACTAATATTCACATCAATATTAAAGAGGAATTGTTGTAAGCTTCATAACTCGACAATGGCAACAGTTAGAGACCTGTAATTTGCAGCAACCGATCGAGGAGAACTTCGGATATCCTTCTGTTTCATACTATATAAGACAAAATTACTTTAAAACTCATCATCTTCTCAAAATATTTAAAAAAATGCATGAAAGCTGTGCTCTGTTTCGATGTAATTTTCATTTCACCATATGCTTGGGATAGTGGAAAGTTCAAATATAGAGTTCAATGCACGATTCAAGTCATTATCTTCTTACATCTCAATGTTGAGCAAACAAGATAGCGTATGTATTTAGTTAAATTCTAGAAATTTGTCAATTTTTCTGGAAGTTGATGAACAATAAAATAATTTTGTCGTATGTAGTATCAAACAATAACACGTTCAGAGTTCTCTTCTTGCAATTACACACAACCAAAGATTGTTAGCTATTGTCGTTGCTCGCGTATCGAGATTACATTTACACGTCTTGAAATCTTGTGTGGACATTAGAGAGGTGTACAAGAATACTCATATATTCGTAACTAGTTCGTCAAACTCTGTCAGACCATATATAACTGAGCGAGAAAAAAAAACTCCACTCGATTTTTGCATTTCCGTGACTTTATAAAAATTTTTTCTATAGGTGAATGGTATCGTCGATTAGATTGTATAAGAGCAATTTGGCCTTATATGCTTTCAATAGCATGTACTTATTTAGTAACTTTATCGTTATTTCCTGGTGTTGAATCTGAAATGATTAATTGTCAATGGCGTGAATGGTTACCGATTATTTTAATGGCTTTATTTAATACGTTTGATGTTTTTGGTAAAATGTTTGCACTTATTGCCCATGATTTATTATCACCAATTCAATTATTTATCTGTAGTCTTTTGCGTTTAATTTATATACCATTAATGATTTTATGTATTTTACCAAAATATACAGCATATTTATCAAGTTTATTTTGGCAATTCTTTTTTTCAAGTACACTTGGCTTAACAAATGGTTATTTTGGTAGTGTACCAATGATTCGTGCACCAATATCAATTATTGAAGAACGAAAAGAATTAACAGGAAATTTAATGATGTTTTCTTATTCAGTTGGTCTTACAGTTGGCAGTCTTATTTCTTATTTACTTGATGCCATCATTGGTCAGAGTACTGGTGTTGATTGGTGTCAAACACTCCCGTCACTCAATCAAACGACATGGGCTATTATTAACAACGGCAGTTATGACGACAACAAGTCTTGATATTTCAACTCATCTATCATCATTTTCTCCGATAACAACAAATGCTAAACAAGATATATTAATAGAAGGGCTACAACTACCGAAGACGTTATATTATAGATATCTGCTTTATATATATATGCATACATCTACTCTTTCTTTCCCATAAACATTCTTATCTTTTTTTCTGCTTCGACCAACTTCGTATATCTTCTAAATTATGTCAATGAAATTCTCGTGGTTTGGTATGTAAATTAAACATATTTTAATAAACATTAATTTTAATTTTATTTCTAGTTCTTGTAATCATTTTGGTTGCTTGTCGAACGGCTACATTATATAGTCTTTATAATGATGATGATGATGATGATTCTCGTGAGGAAAATATTGAAAAAAAATCACTTACTTCTGAACAATTAGCTAAACTTGATGAATATTTTTCACTTAAATATAATGAAGAACCATTATCTGAAGCTTTAACTCGTATGATACATTATCCAAATGAAAATCATATCACTAAACGTGATGCTTTATGGACAACAACAGAAGTTCTCGAGTGTATTCGACGCTTGAGATATTCAAAGAATATATCAAAACTTGATCTTGTCACTGAAATGCTCAATTGCTATCGACGCTTGAAGCATCGTGGTTAAAGGAGGTTTTATAATTATTGTGACAATTGAAATAGATGTTGAAAAAGCATTGTGTACGTTTAAATATGAAAAATAAATATCAAACTTCAGATTATCAATTTACATTTATAAAATCATCACTAAAAACTTTATCACAGCTTACGAGGAAACCTTTCTAGATATCAAACCGCTTTTTGATCATGAGTACTAGTAAGTAATAGAGAAGTTTGAAACGGTTTGGTCTTGCAAGCTTCCATTTTTGAGATATTGAAATTTTACTAGATTTTTCAACAAAGTACTGTGGTCACATGAAGAATCGACTTTCGAATCTCAAATTCAAACGTTGCATAAACTAAGTTCTCAATGAAATTTGTTCATTGGACAATTTGTAGCTGTTCTAATATCTTGTATCCTGAAATATTAGTTATTCTAAAGTCTCTTATGTGTATAAGTAGATTTTTTTTCATATATCTACATTTTTGTAAAGGAAAAACTAATAATACAATCAATTGATTTCATTAAGAGCATGGTTCGGGCAAAGTTTGAAATCGTAACTGTCTCGGAACCTGAGGGAAATTACAGTTTTCCGTTGAAAATTCCAGTGAAATTTCGATATCTCAAGAACGAAGATCCGGAAGACCAAACTATTCTAGACTTTCTTGTTACTCTCTAACACTCATCAAGTGAATATCGTCTCTGTGGAAAAAGGAATTTGGCATCCGGAAAGGTTTTTCTTGTTGGTATAAAAATAATATTCATATATCAAACAGTTGAAATTTCTTCTTTTGATGACTGAGATTTACTTCATTTTTTCAAAGAAATTTGGCGCTTATAAATTCAACAATAGTTTATTATCCAGAATGCTCAAAATAGATGATTGAATTGACACATATTACAATATATTGATAAGGTTTAAACATCTAAAAATTTAAGAATAAAGCAGGTACTATGATTTTTTTTGTAATAAATCAATTGAAAATTTATTATTATTCAGTGTTTTTACAAATAGAAGAAGGAATAATGTTTTATTCTTTTATAAAGACAACTATTTTCAAACAAATTATTCATTTGGGCATCATCAATAATTTTATGCTTAAATTCCAAACTGTTGTTCATCAACTATTTACGTTTTTTTCTTGTAAGTTTTCCTAGAATTGTCAAGAAGAACTCTGTTAAGATCATTGTGTTTAGAGTTTCTAGAGCAATTGACTTAAATCAAAAGTATATTGTTCGACGCATTGATCATCATATTGAATATCTATGCTTAATCATCATTTCAAAAACTTACAGCAATATAAATATGATCGACAACAATCTGCATCTGAAGAGAATGAAAATAATAATGATTACTCGTTTCTAGACACATCTACATCAATATTAAAAATAACAAAATTAAAAAGCGGTTCCGAAATAAAAAAAATCAAGTTCCTTTTTTATTTTGAAAAATCCACGTTTGTTTTTTCCAGACACAGAAGAACTGGTTGGTATTCAACAAAAACCTCAAAAAGCCATCGATTGGTTTCCAATTATATCGATAATTTTAGCTGCTATTATTTGTCTCATTGCATTCATTATTTTATGTAAACGACAGATGTATGTGTGTTGACACTACGTCTTCTTTATAACATCGTATGTGCCTGTTTTTTTCTCTAGAGATCATCGTCATTATATTCATCATCAAATAAAACGACGAGAGAATAATAAAAATAAAAACAAAAATAATAATCAAATCTCATTGTCAACATTCGACGCAGCTGAATGTATTGATGGTGATGTAGAATTCGTCGCTGGACTTAACATAGATTTGGCTAAAGGTAATTTAATACTGACAGATTACGACGCTCAAATGGTTAGTTAAATGTTTCGATGCAAATCTGAACGCCCAATGATTTGAATTGTTTCTTTTTCAGCTCAATTCACTAAACACGTTTGATCGTCTTCAATATTTTCAAAAACTTACACATCATGTCAGATAAAAGATCTTTCTGTTGTTTATAAATCAAAATAATAAATTCTTAATAAGATATTCTTAATATATATGATTCATTTCAGATAAAACGGGGCATATTTATCACTCCTTGAACTTTGCTTCTTTACAAGGGGCATTATTCTGAAGAAGTTCTATTTGCATACACATATGTCAAAATGCTGACTTTTTCATTGCTGACTATTAATTACAAACAAGTAATTAGCAAATGTCTCTATCACTATGACAGTTAGTAAAACATCCGAAAACTTCAAGATAGATTCTACGACACCGGGCTATATCTATAGTGAGATTTTCAGCAACATCTAACTCTAAAGAATTTCTTCTTGAAAACTGGTTTCGAGATATACTTTCAATTCTCGAAAGAAAAAATTTTCTCTTGACACCTTATGTCTCTAAAATTATACTTCGTCATATCACTAACGAAAAATATATCGAGATTTTCGAAAAATTTGCGCATACTCAGAAAAAATTTTGAATAGACATTTTCTAACGTCATAAACAGCCTATACAGTATGCTACTTAGTTTTATCATTATTTCGATTCTTTTTACAGCAAAAATGCATCACCTAAAACTCAATGTCCTCTTTTGTGTGACGTCGCTAACATAAGCATTTTATATCAAAATTTCTTATAAGACTAGTCTCTACTACTAAGTTTTTTCAGGATACCCAAACTAGTTTAACAACCATCCGACTAGCAACATATAGAGTAATCCTACTCTGTCGATGCGGAAGAGGGCTAGGCCAACATATAGACGTAATATCGTCGGTTTTCGAGAATTTCTCCAATTTCAATGAAATTTTTATTGAAAGTAGATCTTAGTGAGATATATCAATCGTAAAGTTTTCAACTCCAAACTACTTGAAACAATCGAGTTATAAAACAGACCATGATATATAGAAAAAAAAATCAAAAAATGGCATTTTTAATGAGATTCAAAGAAGATTATCGAAGTCGCTCATTTCAAAATGTAATGAAATACTTTATACATAGACAAGTAGAAAGTTCAATAGTCTACAAACCACAATAATTGGATGTTTTTTTATAATGCTGTTTATGAACTGAAAAATATGTCGAAATTTACTAAGTTTAAAAGTTTTACTAAGAAATTTGCATCTTTTTTTTTCGAAATTCTACTTTTTCGTGTTGCAATCATATTTTCATAAGGAAGTCATAATACCGCATGATCAAACTATTACAAAAGCAATGCAATATTCAGAACTATTAATACACAAAATTTCAAGAAAAATAATTTTTTTAGAAGTGATAGACATTCACTACAACATCGAAGAATCACATCACACATTAAATTGTTGTTATTCATAATAGGAATGTTGTCATACTTAAATGTTATTGTTTAGTAGAAAAAAATCTTATTAAGACTCACTATGACGATTAAAAAGTATGCCAGAGTATTCCATTATCTTTCTAATTCGCCAAGTTCAACTGTTTCTGACGTAAATGTCGAGTTATTATATATTTTTCATAGTCATTGAAGGAAAAGTAGCTTCATGTGTTTGTGAAAAGTTCGAACACAATGAAGAAAAGCCATAAAAAGTATGCCAAGACCACTCCATTTTAGAACTGGTTGCACATGGCCGTATTCATGAAATACTGCAACTTGCTACTTATGTCAGATTTGATTAGAAATATGCTTTGAATAACTACCAACGTCAATTTGTTGCAAAAAAAGTTAAGAAATAAATACGATTTATTACATCATCGCATTAGATTGAAACATCATAGTTTGCTCAAGTTCATAACAATGGTAGAAGAAGAGTCTCTAAATGATGATGATAGTTTGTTATTTCAACATCTTGATAACGTCCCATGACCAATTGCCATATCATGCAAACAATATGAACTCATAAAAGGTGTTTCATAAGTTTCGAACTT